CTAGAACCGTAAGAGCGTGGAAGAGAATGGCCGTGTCTTCGCTCTCAACTGGCGACCTGCTGCTCTCGTGTTGTGCCCCCTAGTTCCTGTACCAGGACCTGGGCGGTCTGGGGGTCCAGGGCTGGCTGTGGCATAGGGCACGGGCCCAATGTCCCCTTCAGCCCTGCGCTTCCTGGCCTGGTGCACCCCAGCACCAGCTTCCTCCAGTTTCCCTTCACCCAGAGCAGTCAGGGCCCCCCCAGGGATATGGGAGTCCCTCGCTGGTCCTCACCGTGCACATGGAGGGTAGACTGGGCTTCCTGCTGCTGCACCCCATAGCCCACGACACACTTGTACAGCCCCTCGTCAGCCAGTGTCACCCTGGCCAGCACCAGGGTGGCGTTTCCAGTCTCCAGCGCTGTCTCTTCCAGGCTGGCTCCAGGCTGAGCGTGGCCCTTGCCTTCTGCATAGTGTGCAATCCTCTCATCCCAGAGGTACCAGGTCACACGCAGGGCGCTCAGGGCCACCGGCTCCCTGACATCGAAGAGGCATTGCAGTCGGGCCCCAGCACCCAGCACAGCCTGGTAAGAGGGTGCCGTGCGCACCTGCAGTTGGAAGCCTACAGGGAACAGGAGCAGCAGATGCCAGCAGCACCCCTACAAGAGCCCCCACTGCCCCTGGGCTCCCCACATGCCCCCAGGGCCGAGGTGGGGCGGCCCACTGTGGGAGGTGGCTGGGATGTCTTTGCACGGGGCAGTGCCAGCTGGCCCCGCACCTCAGCTGGACATGGCCCCCAGCCCTGAGGGAGGTTAACACTCCCCTGTCCCACTTTGCCCCCTCCCTCAAACCACTTCCATGAGTGGGTGGGAGTGGGGGGGAAAAGCCGAGGGAGGTGGTATAGGGGGTTGGCATCTAGCCATCTGCAAGCCCACATCTCTGTGTGCCTGAGTCCTACCCCCAGCTCTTGCATGAGGTGGCCGGCAAGCCCCCATCTCCTCTGTGCCTCACTTTCCCCACTGCATGGGCGTGCTGGTGTGCCCAGTCCAGCTGATGTCTCCTCTCCACCATTCGGGTTCCTTCTCCAGGTCTTGGTGGACTTGGGGTGGTGCCTCCACACATCCCTGGCTCTACCCCTCCCCGCTCACGAGCTCCCAGACTCGGCACCCCGATGCAGGGCTGGGACAGGCCCGTGTCCTGCCAGGACCCTGCTCCCTGTCTAGGAGGTGCTTGGGGCTGGTCCAGCCTTGGCAGGGGGATGCTGGGGACCAGACTTACCACCAGCTGCAGGGAAGAGGAGGGGGAGGAGGAGGAGAGCCCCTAGCCCCATTGCCTGGCCATCCACAGCTCCCTCTGCTCCAGCCATGTCTGTCTGTGCCCTGCACATTCCCTTTCGTTTCCTGGATTGTGCAAAAACAGGGCAAAGGTTGAGGCCAACGCTGCAATCCCGGGGAGGGAGGGGCTGCCGTCCAGGCCCTGGGCTGCCTCATCTGGGGGTCCCAGAGCACGTGCTGGTGATGGCCCCATTTCTGACCCTGCCCATACCCCACTGCCCTACATATGTGGCCCCCAGCAGGCTTCTCCTGCCCCCCAACAGGGATTCCCCCCATCTCTCCTGCCCCCACCTCACTGCTGAGGGACTCCTAAACTTCCATGCAGCCCCCGACATGCCCCTGAGGCTAAGCATGGGGTCAGCGCACTGTGGGGAGTGGAGGGTCTGGGGGGCAGCAGAGTTGTAGGGACAGGGGGGGTGTGGGGCCCAGGAGCTGCAGGGTTTGGGGGTGCAGGGAGGTCCTGGGGGGCAAGGGAGGACACTTTGGGGCACGAGGGCTCTGGTAGGGGCTGGGGGAGCGATGGGGGAAGGGAGCTGTGGGGGTCACCGAGCCGTGTCTGGGGGGCACAGGGGGGTAGTGTGGGCTGGGGGTAACGGCTCTGGTGCTGAGTGCCCCCCTTGCCCAGAGCCAGCTGCCAACCCCCTCAGCCCAGAGGGACACTGCCTGGTCCTCCTGACCGCTGGCAGGCCCAAGCCAGGAGTCCTCGGCAGCAACCGGGCCCAGGTCAGAGAGGTGCAGAGGCTCCTCCTTGCTGGGGCTGGCAGCTCCTGGCCCTGGACCAGCAGCATTGCCTATGCCAAGGATGCCATGGGTACAGCCCTGAGGGTTTCTGGGGGCCGTGGGATCCCATGGCTGGGTCAGGCTGGGGGGAGCTCTGGGGCTGGTGACTCTGGGAGCTAGGGAGCTCCTGCCCCATGTTCATGGTGGGGCACAAGGCATTGGGATGGGTGGCACCAGGGTCTCCGCCCTTGGCCAGTGCTCCCTGGTCATCACCGTGTCCGTGCCCCTGGGAGCCCGGCCCTGGCTCTCTCTGCCACCACCCCTAGCCTGAAAGCTGGGGGAGCTGGGGCTGGCACTGAGGGGTGGCACGAGCTCCGTGGCAGCAGGCATGCAAGGACCTAGCACTGGTGATGCTCCAGGGAGTTGTGGGGTGACCACACCACTACCATATTTACCAGCATATGACATGCCTCTGTCTATAATCCCACCTGGCTTCCAAAAAGCAGTTTGACAAAGAGAAGTGGGCGAGCAGCAAGGGACACAGCTGCCGCTGGGGACACGAGCAGATCCCCAGCACAGTGCAAGTCTTCCCACTTTTCACACTGGATAGGAAATTGGCAGCACAGCTGGGCATTGCACAAGGTCAGACACATGCACGGGAGGAGCAGGGGTTATAGTCTTGTTGCTTTGTGCGCTCTGTGGGACCATATGTCACATGCTTACTGGGGGCATGATGCTCACAGAAGCAGGATGAAATGAAGCCTCTAGGGTGATGGCCTTGTGCTGGCCACGCTGGCCTCATTCCCGCTGGCTTTGCCCCGCCGTGCAGCCAGACCCAGGCAGTCTCCCCATTCCCCTGCTATGTCCCACTCCCCTGCTACACACCTAGGAGCTGCAAGGACCACAGGCCTGTCCTGCCTGCCCTGGATCACGTCGTGGCAGAGAGTGATCGGGGTCTGAGCCCTGCTCCTGTCTCCCCTGCAGCTGCCAGCAATGAGGGGCCAGGTTGCTCGGATGCAGAGGCTGTGTCCCTCACTCCCTGCACCACAGCTGCCAATACCCCTTTTCTCCAAGCTTGTGTCGCCTCCCGCTGTGCATCTTGTTGGATTCTCACCTCCTGCCATGTCTGGAGGCCATGACCCCAT